ATATATAAATAAATATTGCAACCGGGTAAGGATCCGGAGAGTATCTTGATTATCAACAAAAACCAAAGTTAATATCAATTTCAGAACTCAACAAAAACCACATTTTCTATCAATATCAGAACTCAACAAAAACCACAGTTTACATCAATCTCAGAACTTGATTATTATATTAAACAAACAAACAAATATATATATATATATATATATATATATATATATATATATATATATATATATATATATATATATATATATATATATATATATATATAAGCACTAAAAACCAACAACACTGTATATCCTAAGCGTCGGATCTACTAAGTAGATACAAGGTCACGGATGGAAATTTATATAAAGCACTAAAAATGACCAACGACACGAACAATAATAATTGTCAAATTTTCGGGACAACCTGTCCCTTCCTCAGGACAAAGAAAAAAGTTAAGAAGTCATAGAAACAAAGGAAATAGAGAAGCAAAAACAACTAGCACTACTACTAAACTATCAAACACTAAATATTTACAATGTTACATGTTTAATTTTGAGTTTATAAACAGTTGTGAACAAAGAAATCCGGAGCGCTATGAATTGCGTCCGGTCTATCGGGTGTACTCTGGTGAAGTGTGATTTACATAATTGAACGAATTATTTATCGCTAATTAATTACGGCCAACAGTAAATCGTACATTGTCTTATTCTCTCAAAATAGCGTAACTCTACATGATAAAAAGAAATTATAGAAAGATAATATGGAAGGACAATTTTGAAATATGAATTTGGATATATTATAAATTTGGAAATCGGAAAAAAGAAATAAACAAAAATGTGAGCTGTAAATATTTGGGTAGGTTGTTCCAGGATTACTAATACGAATTAACGGTAAAGTTTACACTATATAGAGAGAATGAACTTGTTTGTTACAATTCGGGATTGGGTCTAGTTCACGTTCATCCTGGTGAAGTCATTAAGTTTGTTAATACCATTAGGGCGGAATGACTTCAGCCTGTGCATCCAGAACTTTTCCTTGCCTTTTCTCTGTGCGTCTGTCCATCTTGGATTATGGTCAATAACCACTACTGTCATGTCCTCCCATTTGTGACCTTCAAGGTTGAAATGTTCCCCAACGGGTTCATTGAGTTTTTTGGTCCTAATGGTAGAACGGTGATTATTGACTCTCCTGCGGAGATCTCCTGTTTCACCAACATACTGTAACTTTGCAGCTGATGAGATAAATGCAGTTGTCTGTTTGACAGGACAAATTCCCTAGTATTTTGAAGCTGCGGCCTGTAACGGGGCTGTTAAAACTGTCTGTGTCAGAGCTGTACTTACAGAGAAGACATCTTCTGTCAGAGCAAGTTTTAAAGCCCCCGTTAGGTAATGGATTGTCCAATCTGGTTCTTACTACCATGTCCTTCAGGTTCCTCGGGCGCCTGTATGCAGCCAATGGGGGCTCCTAAAAGACCTCTGCCATTCGTTTATTTGAGTGGAGAATTGGCAGATTCTTTTGAAGGATACCGCTGAGGTTCTTAAGGACGGGATGGTATGTGGTAACCAGAGGGACCCTGCCGCTATTGTCTTTTTCCTTGTAGCGTAATAGGTTTTGCCTGTCATGTCCCGCTATCTCATCAATAGCAGTTTGTACGCTGCGGGCATTGTAGCCTTCTCTTGCATAAGTGGGACTTAAGGAGACCGCTTTGTTCTTGATATAAGGCAGGGGATGAACAGATGCGCCGAATTCTGGTGGCTAGACCCTTAGGCACACCCTTAAATGTGTGTGGGGGATGACAGCTAGTTGGCATAAAATACAGATGGGAATCTGTGGGTTTCGTGTGGAGACTGAACTCGATTTCACCATCAGTCAGGGTAGATGTAGTATCTAGGAATATGTTTTTCGAATTAGATACGTCTACTGTAAATTTGATAGACTGATGAAAGGTGTTGGCGAACGAAATGAATGCCTCGAGGCTCTCGCGACCAGCCACCAGAATTTCTATGACTTCTTAACTTTTTTCTTTGTCCTGAGGAAGGGACAGGTTGTCAGGTTGTCCCGAAAATTTGACAATTATTATTGTTCGTGTCGTTGGTTATTTTTAGTGCTTATATATATATATATATATATATATATATATATATATATATATATATATATATATATATATATATATATATATATATATATATATATATATATATATATATCTATCTATCTATCTATCTTTATCGAAGCGGACTCTGTCTAATAGAAATTTCTTAATTGCCAAGAATAAATATAGCTTAGTGAAAGCAAATTAAATCATTAATATTATTAGTAGTTTAAAATGTATACATAATGGTAACAGTCAGTTCTACCATCGCTTCTATCATATCGACAAGTTTGATCTTTTTTTTTTTTTTTTTAAAAAATGTATGTTTAACTCTACAGCATCGAGTTGCACACGTATTAAAATTGTGTACAAAATAACAATGGAACTGAATAGCAATTATTTGTACTTTTCACGGCGTCCTAAAAGAAACTGAAAAGCGACGCTTTCTGAACAACCGAGACCATATTTTTCCAGCGCACGATTTCCATTGGGCATTTACAGAAAGTTTTCATTTCCAAGAATCACTTGCATCTGAATCTCCTAATTTGGCAACACCGAAACCTTCCAAAGATAATGCAAGCTCGATAACTCTTCCTATACGCAATGCATTCCAATGTACATAAAATTTTTAAAGTAAAACTTAAAATTCATATATATATGGAATCACTTTCTAGTTTGTTAAGTATGCCAGGTAATTAACGACACTTGGGAGCGTGAGATAATTTATGCATAAAAACCTGGCATACCCAACAAACAAGACAGTAATTCCTTAAGTATAAGCACAGGACAATAACAATCTGAAACCCACATACTACCCGCAATCTCAAAATGGCAAGTTTGGAGCCAAGAATAGAAATTCTCAGTTTTGAGCTGACGTGTCACTGATGGTTTGTGATTTGTTTCAGCTTGAACTATAGTGGGTCTTAATCCAAGAATTAATCTAGATTTTACATGACCTGATATGTGATAGGAGGACATATTAACCTAATTTTAGGAAATCATAAAGACCTACATCGAGTAATAAGACTTCTTGTGACGGTACATATTGTCGTTTTGTACATATTGTCGACGGCGACAATATGTACCGAGACGAGCCTTATTTTCCTCCTGCATAATGGATGACAAAATGTACAGTCAAGCACAAGTACATATTGTCGTCGGCGACAATATGTACAGTCAAGGTCGGCATATATTATCGTCGATATATTGTTTTGCTGAATATTTACTTGAGAAGAGAAGGGAAGAATGACAGACACACATACGCACGGAGGGAGACAGACAGCATTACTCACAATACTGTAGGGAGAAAAATTTTTGGTCAGAAAATTGTGTCCAGGATTGACGTACATCACTATGACATATATAGATACCGTAATTCTTGACATATCTGATAAATCAGCTATTCTTTTTTTCTTGTAACATATACTTGGAGACTGAATACAGGTACCGGTATGTTTTTTTATGTTCAGTAGTAATGATTATTTGGAAATTATTTTTTTCGTTATTCTTATATACGATCATGTGCCGATATAATATTATAAATATAATTTATTGTTAATAATGATATAAGAATAACGCAAAAAAAAAAAAAAAAAAAAAAAAAAAAAAAAAAAAAATTAGATCACCTGAACTGGAAGTGCAAGTGGGCTTTACTGATCACATTTTGTCCTACCGTCCGTCTGTCTGTAAACTATTCATAATTTTAGCTTCTTCTCAAGAACTACTGGGTTAATTTCAACCAAACTTGCCACTCTTGCATCCATGGATAAAGGGGATTCAAGTTTGTTCAAATGAAGAGGGAGTAGTGAAGAATAAGTGAAAAGAGTTTGACTTCTAAAAATCTTCTCAACATCCACTGTGTAAGAAAAGTTTAAACTTGTGTGAAAGCTTCATTAAAAATGTAGATTCAGTTTTATTCAGATCATGTCCCTCGGGGGATAGGTGAGGCTACAATAGATGATTTAAGTTTTTCGTAGAATATTTAGAAAAAAAATCTTTCAAAATGTTCTTTTCAAGAACTACTGGGTCAGAAGAGATGATACTTATGTGAAAGCTTCATAGCGTACGTTCAATTTTGATGTGCTGGCACAAAAAGGTCCCTCACTGCTCAATGATCCTGAGTGCCAAGTATAGGTCTAAATTTACAGCCCTCCACCGGAAAGTAGTGACCTCTCAATATGAATGAAAAATTCTCGAGAGGGACATTTTAACAACAAACAAACAAACAAAAACAAAATCAATTCTGTTCAAGTCAAGACCCCAGGGGTAATGTGGGGCCACAATGGGTGATCAAAGTTCTACATAGGAATAAACACAGAAAATCTTTAGAAATCTTCTCAAACATCAAAGACAAATGAAGCACCCCCCCCCCCTCCCTCGCTTGGTGGTTTGATTTTTTTTTTTGCTTTGGTAAATTCTGTTTGTTTAACTTGTATATATTTAGTCCACAGGTAAAATTTCATAATTAAATAATGAAAATAACATAAACAATAACACTGATGGACGACAATATGCGCAGTGAGGGAAGGTACACATTGTCGCCGGCAACAATATGAACAGGACGATAAAATGTACCGTCACAATCATGTTCATAAAATAGCATACGAGACACGTCAGTGTGATTCTCTCACCAATTAAATTCACAAAACTACCAAAAAACAACAAAAGACATCTTTAAACAGCAATATTTGTGGGGCGACAATATGTACAGTTAGAATGAGGCACATAATGTCGCCAGCGACAATATGTACATGTCATATGTATCTTTTCAGTCGGCGACAATATGTACCGATGAACAACAATATGTGCATGCAGTGATGGTAGGTACATATTGTCGCCGACGACAATATGTACAGAACGACAATATGTACCGTCACACTTCTCCCTAAAATTAGAACTTACTTCTTTCATTCCAAGATTTCTGTGAAAGGAGCAGTGACTGCAATGGAGGACTTTGTGTTGAAGAGAAAGGACAGAAAGTGTGTGAGTGTCCACCTGGCGCCGAGGGTAATCAATGTCAAAGTAAGTTTTACTTGAACAACATATTTATTTTCTCTGTGTTCAAATAAATGTGCGACATTTTAATGTATTGGATATTGTACAACAATAAAATTATAATTGAAGTGCTCAAAATTCGTATCGTCTGATAGGTAGTTTTTCTAAAAATATTCGACTCGAAGTCATACACGTATGTTACTTGGGAGACTTGTATAATTACGCTATTTCCTTTGGATATAGTCAATAAATAAAAGAAATCTCTTTGCGGGTGTGACAGTTCGGCATGGGATGCTTGCTCCTCCATGGCACCTGTTACCATGCACCTCTGATGCTTTTAGAGGTCCGTGTTTGCTCTGCTCCCGATTTGTATTGTTTCAATGGACTTTTGAGTTTGATTACTGTTTGATATCTCCATATTTCGATTCTAAAAAACTGAAAATATCTCATGGATATCTCGGGGAAAAACCCGCAACGTTAATGTAAAGCAGAAATAAAGAAACATGAAATATGTGATTTACAGCATTATTCAATCATAAGAATGTACGCTGTGTTTTTTTTAGTTTGACTGCAAATATAATTTTTTCAGTAACGACATCAACCAGTACAACCACTACAACCACGACAACTACTATGAGAAATCGATTAGGGGGACTGCTCTTGGCGGTGGGAGGGGGTATCGGTTTATTAGCCATCCTAGGAGCAGCAGCTGCATCTTCATCCGGATAACTTAAAACATGTTAAGACGTAACACAGAATTGTCATCGATGAAGGTGTATCGTTTGCATGTTGGAATTTTAAAATAAATCAAAAAAAAAATTTCTTTAAAATTTAGTGTCTGTATAAATGTTTCAGAAAATATCGATATGCATTTGACTTCACAACTGAACAGTTATCAATTGCAGCTGGACAAATTTTTCAACTAAAATAATAAATCTTGACAATAAAGTACAAACATGTTCTATTAACTTATTCTTCAATAAAAAATAAGATATATTAACGTATAAATAATATATGATATTTGCCATTGAATAGTGCATTATATATTCTGATTTTACATAACAGAGTATACAAACTTTGTAACCACAGTCTATGAAGTATTAATTTTTCACTTCAGCTCAGGATCTTTTTGATAACCCTAAAAAATGATGTCATGCAACGCCAAAACGATTCTTTCATGGGTGTTTCATGATTTTTTTGACAGTTAATTTATCATTTATAGACCAACATAAGCTCATCATACCCATTTTTTCTTATATGATATTTTTTAAGGGAAAATAGTAAAATAGTAAGACATTCTGAAGCTTAGACTTTGCATTGATGCACGATACAAATCTAATAAAACATTTCATGAAAGCGCCAGGTATACGTTTTTTTTTTTTTTTTTTTTTTTTTTTTTTTTTTTTAAATAACATTATGAGTTTTCAATGAATTAAAAAAATGTTAACAATTTTTTAAAAATTAAGTGAATTTAAAAATCATAGAAAAGAAATATATAATCATATTTTAAAAAAATTGAAATAAATTTAAAAAATGAAAAATTGCACCTTTTCAAAATATAATTGTCAGATTTTTCTTGTCTATACGTTAAATATTTCTTGAAGATCTTATCTGACTGTTCATGTTCATCACATTTCTACAATAGATTTAAAAGTATTACGGTTACTTTTTTCTCTGTTCTTGCCAGCTATCTGATTGGCTCAAATTATACAAACATGATCACATAATCAAGTATAAAATAATCTTATAAATTTGGAGTTTCTATTTTAAAGCTTCTAAAAATGCTTATAAACCTGGTGTTTCTAAAAATTGAAAACGTTCTTCTGTGAAGCAACAATAGTGATGATATCATAAAAGTCTTTATAATCTGAATGTTTTTTTAAAAACAGATACTTCTGCTGCGTGACTATGACGTCAAAATGACTATGGCATAACAATGACTTCGCATGTCTAATTGCATTTCAATTATCTAAAGTTTCGAAAGATAGGGGATCTAAGGTTAAAGTACACGAATGAATTTTTTCTTCAGAATCTCTTTGCTGAAGCAAACGTCTTTCTCACTATACATAAATGACATCTTTTTATCTATAAACTTAACGCCATCAAAATTTAGGATGATTCGGATTAATATACCGATCAAGTAATATATATATATATATATATATATATATATATATATATATATATATATATATATATATATATATATATATATATATATATATATATATATATACATATATGTAAACAGTTTATACACAATCCTACAGTATGTTGATATTCTTAATGGACTCTATACAATACAATATAATATACAAGAATTTTTTTCCTTTTCCATACTAAAAAATAACAGCACACAAATAAATTAATGATATCACTGTTCTTTGTCACAAGTTGGTCTGCAGTCATTTCTTCAATCTAAAAATATTTTTTTTTCTATTACGTCGCTAGTAATCTCAGCGAGATTCGTAGAGACTAAAAATTTTGGTCTGGTAGTCCCTACAAATCTCAGACTAGTGTCACATAATCTCATTCGGGAAATCGTCCCCGGACTTCGACCGCTTGTTTCGATTAATACGAGCTGAAATGAATTAGCTGTGGAATTCTGCGGTGTCTCTTGATTATTTGAATTTCTAGTATCTGTTGACGACACTATATTAGAAAAAGATATATTTTCGGAAAGGAAAAAATCCTCTTAATAAAAGTTTACATAAAAGAGAGTTTTTGAAGGCAGATACGAGGCCATAAAATTTGCAGTGTTTTTTACGGTTCTATATTTTAAAAAAAAGTCATTGCCTATTTATCTTGGACACAAAAACTACTGAACGGATGCTAATTTATCAAAGCTATAATTATAAAACTATGACAAACAAAAGTTACCCATATATTTCATTTGTATTTGAAAATTCGAATAAAATCTACTCTTTAAAAAGTGTAAGAAAAAAGCTACAAAAAAAAAAAAAAAAAAAAAAAAAAAACGTAAATGAAATATTAGGATTTTCTTCAGTTGATTTAATTAAGGTCAGTCTTCTCCTTCGTATTGCGCAATGAGTGGCGGGGTCAGTGAATATTAAGATATTAAGAGAAATAGAGGCTGAAAAATATTTTGCTATTCTGATCTTTTGTTTGTTTTTCCTTTTCGGGGACAGTATATTTCAAACAAAAAAGGAAGACTACTGTACCATTCTTGAAGTCTTTCAACCTTTTAGAAATAAGTAAATTACTGGAAATTTGGCAAAAACTGGGCATCCAAAGATAAAGTCTATTTCATAATCTTTCAGCATATGATTTATGTCGCACAATCCACATTACATGGCCAAATGTGATTCATCATTTCCTTTTTTATCATTTATTTTATGAAATGTTAGTTTTTGTTTAAAAAAAATATTGTGGGTTCAATTTTACTCTAGGTTAGCAAATTTTGATAAGTGATCACTGAGTGTATAAGAATTTAGTTATAAAGTCACAATTTCTAACTTCAAAAGACCACGATTTAATGACACTTTTTGGAGATACATATAACGTTTCAATAAGTCTTTACAAAAAAGCAGTTCTCAATAAAAAAAAAAAAGTCAAATGATTCACTAAATTTAATATAACATTTAGGGTAAAATGACACGTCTTAAGGATTAATTAATGAAAAAAATATTTAAACATGAGGATCCCATAATCCATTAATTGAATATATAAATCTGATCTGTCCATCATCCTCAAATATTTTTTTTTTATTTTAAATTTACAATTATGACTGTACACCACATAGTACATGTAAACATATAGCAAAAACAAACAAACAAACAAACATTGAAATGATTGAACTTTCATTTCTGGCATTCAGCGCATTTTTTTTTTCTTTAAACCTTATTTTATAAAAAAAAACTAATGTAGAAAATTTCATGCAATAAATTGATTAACAACTTCAATTAATACATGTCCTCATCATACTGCCACAAATAAAAGTTAACTTTTCAAATTAATACATATATTGTGAGAAATTGAAACAAACTTTCACAATATCCATATTAAACATTTTACAGATTCTCATATTATTTAATTTCATTTAATTCATTCATGCCAATGGCCGTGTGACGCAGTTATTAGAGTGTTTGCTCTAGAGTCAAGGAATAAGGAATCGATCCTTACGTCGCGGATTTGAATCCCACTGCGGGACGTAGAGTCCGGTTCTTCAGGATGAGGCCGTTAAACTGAGGTCCCGTGTCGTAGTAAGTGCTGACAAGAAAAAGTTCCCTCACTGCTCAATGGCCCTGAGTGCTGGGTATAGATGTAAAATTTGCAGCCCACCAATGGCAATGGTGGCGTCTCAATTTGAGTGAAAAATTCTGGAGAGGGACGTTTTGAAACAAAAAACAAAATCATTCATGCCACCGTCTATCAGTACTCACAGTACTTTGATTTTTTCTGCAACAGCTACAATATTAATTCTCGTACTAACAACCAAAGAAAGCATTTTATTGTTTAAATTAAATTATTGTTGAAAATTAAAGTATCTTCTGTTGTGCTCTTGTTTACTTTTGTAATGCAATATTACTGACCATTACAGTGATTACCATACCAACACAAGGATTTAACACCAACAGGCAAAACATGGATTAACCATAAACACTAGCAAATTATCCCTTATTGGAGATTTGATAATTTTAAAGCCCCAAGCCCGGATACGTTATAAAGGATTTTAAGGTTAACGCTGTAACACAATTTCAAATGTATTGCTTTTGACCATGACCTGAGAATGATTGTGCTCTAGAATGAAAAGAAATTAAACTCATATATGTTGTAACAATAAACATCATTTTGAATTCATTCCTTTCTATAACCTGTTAACGATTACTTCATCTCATCACCCAGTGATCTTTAATTTGAGATATACAGCATCCACATTGATTGAAAATCACGACATATGGCCGGGGAAAAGGAACATCTTAGTTCATATTCATACTTGCCAAGGGTTCATATGTAACTCTTCAGATACGATTTAAATATCTTAGTATTCAGTGACCTTCACATTTGAGTAAGTTTAATTCAATATGGCAACTATCATTTGGTCATAGACAAATTTGAATTCACAGTCGAGTAAGTACAAAAATTCCTACATGTATATTTTATTGTTGTATTGCATTGAAATATTAACGTTTTTAATATGATACCATATAATAAAATTCTATCAGCTTTTATGACGGGATTGTTGCAAGTTTATTTCGCAACTCGTCCTAATGAAAGAAAAAGACACTGACAAACTATAGAACTGGAGTACAAAGCATTGTTGCAAACAAATCAGGATGTTAAAGATATACACGCTATATAAACGCGATTTTTTATGTGAAACAAAATGATTAAACGATTTGAGAAACATGATGTGTAATAAAAAATATTATTTTCTGCAAAGTTTTACTAAATAAGTCGTTGTAATTACATAACAATTAAGCAAAATCTGCAATTGAGAATTCAGCCTTTTCATGAATATTGATGAAGGAAGTGCGTAAACAGTATATAAACACGCATGTCCGCGGGAAATCATAGACAACGAGGCACGTTGCATTTTGACTACGATTAAGGGTAAAAGGTTAATATCTGTCATTACAGAGTAGATGGTTAATACTGGTTGTTTTAAAAGATAAGTATCTTATTCTACTCATATTTCTTGTACAGGGTGTTTCAACAAACATGTCCCGACTTTTGATGTCTATATTTTTGCACAATAATGAAATATTTACAAAATTATAACTGTATTTTATAGCTCATTTTCCTGCAATACAATTGTGATATAAACAATATAAAATAACGTCATTATATTTTTTCCATTTAAGTTTTGATTACATCTTCAAAAATCAGGTTGTCAGGTTTTTTTTCTCCAAAAATGGATCTATGGATGTTTTGAACTGAACAGTACAAACGGAAAATCTCCAAAATAACCCAATACTAGTGCCTAAAATTTTGAAAAAAAAAGTACTGATATGAAAACCATCTTTCTAAGAAATAGGCTTTTCAAAGGATGTCAAAATATATGCCATACAGGACTTCAGAGACAAAATGAGGATGATGACTTTAAAACATTGCGGCTTTTTCGAACAAATAAAAAATGACGTTAAATTGAAAACTGCTGCTGATATTCAAACTTTAAAAATGTCTGTCTTTAAAAATATAATTGATTCAGCATTACTTCAAATTTCATATTGATAAAATTGTTTAGTTATGTGATTTTCATATTTGCAAAAAAAAATCTTACATTAATACTGTGTAACTTTATATTGAATCCGCAAAGTCGGGACATGTTTGCTGAAATACCCTGTATTTAAAAATTAATGAAATTTTCATAGATTCAAGAAGACAATATCACTAAGTGATGGTATGAATGAGATTAAATTTGACCGTTTTATTTTAGAAACAAGGTCAGGTCAAGGTCATAATCTTTTTATTGGCTAATCCGGATTTCCTCTGTTTTTCTTAATTTTTTTTAGGATATATTAGTTATTTTTATATACTTCTTATATTTAAATATTTCTTATTTTTACATATGGTAAAGAAGTCATATAAATATACAAAATGATACAAAAACAAAAATCTTTTACCGTTTAGCAAGAGAGAAAAAAACACTTTTTACTGATTTTTTGCTCAAATCTGTTTTAAGGTTGGAGGCTTTCAAAAGCTAACAATATTGTAGATTGTTTAGAAAATCATTTTTATTTGCTATGTTTTAAAACTTTAGGGCATTATTATTAAGTTACATATCAAAACTTCTTCAAGTCTTTGATTGTTTAAAAAAATTAATTACATGTTATGTTCTGTAAGTGATTTTGATAGGCAGAAAAGGAGATATTTTCTTACGCCACAGTTGCGCCAAAAATATAGTCCCTTATGGATGTTTAACTCAGTTTACCATTTCTATTTAAAATTGTACAATTATGATGAGTAAAGAAACATATGATCTTTTAAATACATTACAGCTAAGTTTATAAGACATACAAGCAAATATACTTGGACTATTTCGTCTAGTCAGAAACCAGACAAGAATCCCTCCTCAAGCATTAGAGTGTGCCATCAATGTCAAAAGCTATTTGTATACCAAACGGCCTACCTCGTTTTCTTGACGCCATTTTTGTTTATCAATCTAAAAGTAGCGACGGTGTCACATGACGCATGAATTTAAATAGAGGCATTACTGTCCTAGTAGGAAAATAAATAATTATAATTTGAGATCTTTATAACGCGTTCATTTTCAATTGTGTAATTTACAGTATTTTTGTAACTTTATTTGGTAAACAAAATAAATAAATTTCCAACTTAATTTTTAACTGACGCAAGTTATAGCGATAGCGTGTATATCTTTAACCGTTTCTTTATATATATTATCTTTTATATATTATCTTTTCTTTTATTACGTCATAAAAGAATGCCTGAAATATTTTTACATAATAAGAATAATAAAATCAAATTATATTAGGAATCCAGAGAATGTTGTCATTGGAGCATCACCTTGGGTATGATACCCAGCCCCGGAGTAACATTTAACCCAAACTTGATCTCCTTTTTGAAGTTTTAAAACTACCAAGTTCGGTCCTGCCGAGTATGTTTGATGAAAGGAAGCACTATATGCCATTGTTGTGACTTTAGCAGAGCCATTTAGCACTATATATGTAAATACGTAATGATTCGAATAAGATTGGACGTTGGCAAAGAAAACAAAGTGTCCGTCGACAGGAGATGTGAAGACACCAGTACTTGAGTCGTACCCTCCTCCTATGTTGTAGACGATCCTATCGAACACCAGTGTACCGCTGTTCCAGGAGCTGCTGGTTGACGTTACACCTGCCGTAAAGGCTACTTTTTGTGTGATATCTACAAGGTTCAATTAGCTTTAAATCAAATTTTCCTATAAGTCGATAATGAAATTAAGATTATTAAGACAACAACAGCCCCCACCCCACCCCCCAAAAAACAGCATCATATTAAATAGATTTATGTTCATATAGATGACTTAAAAACAGTTAAATATTAATGATACAGAGATGAAATTTAGCAAGAAATTATAATAATGTTATAAAGTTTGTGCTTGAATTTGGAAAGATTTGTATATAAATGGCAAAAGATTGCATGTTTAAACCGCAGAAAATCTACGACTTTTTTTATGTTTTAGGAATTTATTATTTACATTTATGTCATTTCTATTAAAAACCAGTGAAAAAGAATAATATTGTAAATCCATGCTGATGCATCAATTTTTTTGTGTGTGTTTTATTTATCCTTAAATACAAAGAGAAGCTCTCTTTAAGGAATCAGAACACATTTGAATCCTATCATCAAAGATTTTATATCCTTTTCACACCTTTAACGAAAAAAACGTAATGTAAAAAATAAAAAAAAGCCGGACCCCAGTGGAGGATATCGTATTTTAAATGGATCATGAGAGGAAGTTGTATTCTATCAGTTGTTAAAAGTCTGCATTTTCTCTGTCTAGGTGTCATAAAAAGTCTTTCGCGCATACTTATTCGCAGGATGACCCCAGAGCCGTGACCTTTAGACACTGCAAGACAGATCCCGATTTTCATTCTGTAGAATATTTTACATACTGTTTTCTTGATGCAGAGTTTTTATTGATAGAGTGGTTTACATTTTTATTGACTTTTTTTTCGTACAATGCCATTCAGGCCACATACATGCACTTGACGCTACATATTTTTCTTAAAACGTTAAAACAATTTACCTGATAAATCAGGCATGAGTTTCATTTAAAAACAAAAAAACTATCAAATGCATATGCTTCAGATTAACATTCTTCAAAATGAAGAAGAGATACATGTATATATTAATATTATTAAGAATTAAGAATCAACACTGCTGTCTGTGGTTTTCATATGAATCGAAGTAAAGTAAAATGACCCCAGATCAAAGAAAATAAAGCTTGTAAAGTCTGACTTTAATATAGATAGAACTTTCTAAGAATAATAAAAAAGAAATACAAACTGTTTATTCGCGCAGAGACTTCCCTTATTTGATCGTCATAACTTCTGAATAGTGTTGTATTTAGTTCCTCCGTCTTAGAATGAACGTCTAGCAGTGATAAGCTGATATACCGCATTTGAACCTTTAAATCTTCCAAGTTTTTTTATTGCAACACAGAGTTGTTGCGTTACGTTTTTGTCATATACTTCATTTTCAACCAGACCATTCACTACTTCATTAAGTCGCTGAGTTAAGTTTTTATTCTGCTTGTCACATTTTTCCAAATTACCCTCCGCTTTATTCAGTCGCAGAGTTAGATTTTTGTCGTAAACCTCGTTTGCGGATAATGTTTGAACTATTTGTTTTGAGCTTCTCAAATAGGTCATTAATTCATCATTAGAAGGTAGCTTAGACGAATTTTGTTGATTCATCTCAACTTCCAAAACGAATAATCTGTTTTGAAGCGACTTATTTTCTTCGTCAAGAACGGTACATTTTCGACTCAATATTCGAATAGTTGATTTATCCATGTCGGTTTGTTTCTTGAGATTTTGTACCTCAGCTGTCAGTTTCTGAAGCATTGTCATTATTTTTGTGGCTTCGACATTGTGCCCCTCTAAACCATGAATCGTATTGCTTATATTTGAATTTCCATGCATTAACAATCCAGACACTCCTTCAATATTAAATGAAAACAGAGAAACTGTAATGACAAATAGTTTTGGGATACGCATTTTAAAACCGTGTTTTTTACGTAAACGATGTCATATAAGCAGTTTTCGAACCACTCTTCTTCTCCCAGTATTTTGTATTTCATTTAATTCAACTTATATACTCTCCCAGTACTTCGTATTTCATCTAATTCAATTAATATACTCTTGTCCAGAAATGGATAGAATATGTCTATAGACGAAGATTACACGTGTTTGTTCTTTAAACAATATTGTGTTGTTTATCTACGTGAGATAAAAATTCCCTTTCAATTTGAAAATATAAAAGATAATCTCCATTGCTTTATCTGATTGTAAATAAATTAACGAGTGGACTGGAATTGCTAAATGTGTGTAAATAATGAAAACCTGCTGTACACAGAGGAACCTAATACTTATTTGCGGAGAAATATGCATTGATTTCAGATCTGGACAATATTTTAAACGAAGGAAATCGAAATTAAACAAATGAGGTGTTAAATTGACTATCAATAAATCAAACAAAGGGAGAGTTTATTTGATTATATCACTATTTTCCATAAACGATCGCAAATGTTTTCAGCATTTACCTCTCTGTGTGCTACGAAATAAGTTGAAAAATTATTGGAAATTTCAGATTGACCACCATTTATGTAGTGCAGGGTTCTTCATCATTTGTAGATTCTTGTTATTAAAATTTTTGTTTGTAAGGTTAACTGTTACAGCTTTTTAAAGAACTTCAATTCTACATGCGGCAATCCAACTTATATTCTAAGTTCCCTTTCAAAGGATGAAATTCTTCAAAAGCATGTTTTAGTTTTAAATACATTTAACATTGAAGTCAAAGGAAATGATTTGATATACCTTACATATACTGGATTCTAAAACTTCATAAAAATCCTTAAAAACAAAGATACATTGTAGGGTACAGTAAATATTCAACCAAACCCCTATATTTTAATTTACCCCTCACAAACATAAACTGCTGTGAAGGAGAAATTTCAGACGTATTGTGCGTCAACATTTTCGGGAAATAAATCAAATGTCGATTCTCAGAAACTCCGAAGAACTAGTACAATTGGTAAATTGTTTAATCACAATTTCTTTTTCCTCCAAGATCAATAACAACAGAAAGTAATACTTTTCAACACTCTATACGACGAATTAAAAACAAGCTATTGACATCATAGTTGACAGTTTCTTTAATGGAACTCCGACATTTGCATATCTTGTGATTGATCATCGACAAGAGTAATTTGGTAAAAATCATTTTGATTCTAGTATTCTTCCTAAGAATTCTGAAGATAAAATTAAATAGATACTGGAGGTCCTCATCGACAAAATCTGTATAGTGTTTGGAGACCAGTTCATTCAATAATCTGTTGAAGTTCCTCTGGATACTAACCGTTCTCCTTTATTAGCCAACCTGTTTAAATTATATTCTTATGAAGCAGAATTTACTCAGAATTTCTACATAAGAAGAAGAAAACACTTTATGTTACCAACAAAATATATTTTGATGTATTGTCTACTTTTTATAAGAAAATAAGCATAGTTATTTTCATATGTCGGATCGATATACACATTTAGTACATGTAACCCTAAAAACTCAAAAAAAAAAAAAAAAAAAAAAAAAAAAAAAAAAAAAAAAAAAAAAAAAAACCTATTTCACACTTGAATATTTAAATGACTATAGACGATTATGGCCAATATGCAAACTTCGAGATTGTAACTCTCCAACGATAGTGACGCAAAAAAGTATCCATATCAGCATGGGGGTAGGACAGGGTGTTGATGTATACAAACCTGCATAAACAAATGAACGATGGCTAAGGCTTTTAAAAGCCATTTAATGTTATAGAAAGATGATAATGTCAAGCCTTGATGACTTTGATGATTTTTATGTGCTCTGCTATACATGTTTACAAAATCTACTTTAAAATAAAATACTTGAAAAAAAAAACAAAAAAAACCCAACAAAAACTGTCATAGTCTTTGTGGAAAAGACGCCTCCTTGACTGTACAAATCTTTTCTAAAAAGTTATGGGCTCTTAAAAATGATTATAAGGGAAAGAGTCGGTGTGTCATTCAGAATGCCGACGTGCAATGAGCAGATGCTTGTGTATTTATTAGAGATCCATATCTCTTCCCTCGTCCGATTTCTTATCCACTGATCATTTCTTTTGTTCCGAGGTAGAAAAAAATTGACGCCTTTACTTTAATTCGATAAGTTTCGAGTTGCAATCAGTTATGTTAGACCGGCATATCGATGATGTAACGTATCCATAATAAATAACTGTCCCACCTGCCAGTTTCTTCAGCTTCCCTGGTCATCTTCCACTATTACTGGTCTTTATGTCTTCTAAGTGATTCGGTACGGAGGAGCATGTTCCGAGCATGACCAAATTTTAAAGCTGGACAGGCTTCTGACAAATACATGTAATTTGATGTTACAGGACTTTCATTAGTTATTTAAATCTTAATTAAGTCTTTACAAGGGCATTGTTTGCAAATACAACCTTTTTTTTTTGTCTGGGATGTTTCCTGCCAATTGTTACCCAAATTTTGTCTCGTGCGACAAAGACTATACAGTTGGTAAAAACTCATTAACCATCTTTATATTTTTGCAACTTGTATCTTAGAATTCAAAAATACGAACGTTCAGAATGCAATGAGAAATAAATTTCAATATAGGACAAACTGAATCCCATCTTATGCCTGAAACTGAAACCTAGGGGACATGAATATATAACTTTTGATGACTAGTTGCTCTTACAATCTTGCAAACAATGACTGCTAGATGTCCATGAGTAATGAAAAAGATTTTCAAAGATAAAATGTATTTTATATTTCATAGATAACCATAAAAGCCCCGTCTTAGAACCTAAACCAATGGTCCAGGGGGCCATATATAAAGAACAAGGAACGGTTTCAATACAAATCTGGCCCTGTATTTTTCTTAAATGTGAAATTGATGCAAGAAATTAAAACTCAGGCTCTCTGAATCGTTGAAATTCCATGCAGTATGATCATACATTTGACCTCCTAAATGCTATTTGTGACGTCATAAACTTGTGTATTTACCTGTATTTTCCTAAAAAATTTCCGGAGGACATCAATTTCAATGGATTTCTTTTTCAGGTAATATAGAACACATGCATCGCCCACAAAGATTTTGAGATATGTGCTTTTTCAAAGAATTTTACACAAAATATAAGAAAATTATAATGGTCGACGGCTGTGAACATTATTTTCTTACAGAAAATAATCCTTAAAATTGGTCATTTTGAGGCTTTTTCTGATTACATGTATAACAGAGAAATGTATCAAATTTCCAGAATTATCTTCCTTCATGCTTTATTCTTTCATGATTTATCACAGTCATATACTCAATTAATATTTAAGCTAGGTTCAAAAGTGTTTGAAAATATTAAAATTTTAAGGCAGAATAAAGCCCAAACCGTACCTTCTTCTTTCACAACTTTGTTAGAGGACTGAGTGATAATTATAAATATGCAAATAGTTTGTATGCTAAAGGTCTATGGGTACATATTTTGAAATGTGTAATGTCTTTTCATATTATATAATCAATAATTATTTCTCTTCTGAATACCGGACTCACGAGTCATGAATTTGAAAAGCTTGGGGGGGGGGGGGGGGAAGTTAACTATATATAAGTAATCGTAATCAAGCATTCAAAGTTTGCCTTCTATATATCCATTGTTTAAAGGGGCTTAGATAAAGATTTGGAGTTAATGTTCTCTAAAAATTCTGAAGGACTTAAGAGTCCTGAAATAAAGCAGTAGATTTAAGTTTTATAAAACTTTTATTTTCTCGATTTAAATCAGTCTTAGAGCGTGTTTGGGGGCCTACTTTTTGCAGAATATAGCAAATTTGAATCTGTTGTTATACTTTTGCCTGTCCTCAAAATAATTACCGGAGAAATATTGACATTAGTGTAATTATTGTAAACTAATACCATACACATATTCGAATTTAGAGAGAGAGAGAGAGAGAGAGAGAGAGAGAGAGAGAGAGAGAGAGAGAGAGAGAGAGAGATGTCGACATAATGCTAATCGATAATCCTGCCTCCTATTAATATTGATTAGGTAATCTAAAACAGGGCAAAAAAGGGATACCTAGAAAAAATAGAGATAGGATTAGGGGTCCAGGAGGAGTAAGCGTCCCCTGTCGACCTGTCACACCCGCTGTGAGCCCTACGTATTGATCAGGTAGAAGGAGTACTCCTTTGTCAAAATCAGTATAAAACCAACGACCTAACAAATGTAATGAACATGAAAGACAAAATACGACAACCTTAATCTAAAGAATTCCCCCTTTAAGGTTCTCTTAACAATTTCAACAACAATAAACACAACTGTCATAAGAAAACCAACCTTTTAATATAACGAAGGATTAAGGTGTGATATTTTTTGATATACTACGTACTCTAACATTTTGCAAAAAAAAGTTTTTTGTATTTGAACACGTTGGGTGTGTCTTGAGAAAATTAATGGCAAATTAAAACAAGCCTTACCTCTTAAAACCCTGTAAAAATAACCTTGAATATATAATCATGTAGGCGCGGATCCAGGAATTTTTCCAAGGGGGCCCTCCCCAGTGCAAAACATTATCAGCCAAGAAATTCCTTATGAAGCAAAAAAAAAAAAAAAAAAACAAAAAAAAAAAAAACAAAAAAAAACAAAAAAAAAAAAAAAAAAACGTAACAAACCATTTCCCAAACGTGAAAAAAATCCAATCTCCTGATGGTGGTGGTGGGGTCAAGTTGCTTCAGTATATACTTTTAATAACTCTGCAAATCCAGGGGAGGGGAAAGGGAGCCAGGACCCCCGACCCCTCTCTCGATCTGAGCATGCAATCACGAAATCTTCTCTACTTACTTGCTACCCACATATCAAATTATAAAGCATTCTTGTTGTATATAATATTTAAAAGGTTTAAGACAAAATTAAAGTTGCAGGCAAATTAAAGGGAAAAAAAATAATTTTTTTTAAAGCGGCATTAAAATCAATTCCTATCAGTATTTTCAGTACTCTGATTAAACCAATTTGAAATTCATATATAATTACATACATACATTTTGTTTGAAATATATATATGACTATCTGATACCCCAAACTTATTACTACTTTACTAATCTAGAGTCTGTATTTAAGGATGTGCAAGAAACTTAACATCGATATTCTATTTTAAGCTTTAGGCGAGTAGAAAGTATCGTTTAGTTCCTATATCCAGAGAATATTTTTCTTCCCCTTTCTGACTTTTACACATACTAAACAATGCTTTGCTTGGAATAGTGGTTGGAATGACACTGAACAAAAATATATATACTATTTTCATACAGATTTTAATATTTGATAAATACATTTACCACTTTGACACATTTTTCGAAATAGAAGTATTAAACACCACTAAGGATTGTCAATAAATTTCAAAATTTCATCTATTGCAGACTGGTTTGTGTCACAATCGTAGCAAGAATTATTATAATACAGCATATTTACATAGCCATCTATTTCCTCTCTTTTAAGTTGAATGTTGGAAAACGATGGAGGCGGATTGTTTTCGTCATGAAAATGTACGATGACCACCAAAATTCTTTTACCTGAAAAAAAGAATCAAGATGTTGAGTTATTTGACTAATTCATAGCCTTCTGATTGAGATCCAACATCGTAGAAATCATACTGCGTTTCATTCACCTGTCACCTTTCAGTTAAGCATAACATTTATTCTTTCCTACATTTGACCAGAAATAGATTGAGAACTTCCAAACTGTTAGAGTTAGTTTTAAAACATTATGTTCTTTTACACTATACCTTTCAGGTAAATAAAACATGTAGATCGATATCTTCCAATTTTATACAATTAGCTATGAAAATTACATTCACCTGTATGCCAACTTCTAGGTGAATATAGCATTCCATTTATTATTATTATTATTTTTTACATTGCACAAAACATTAATCAAGAAATTCCGAATAACACATCTAGTTATGTTTATTTTATTCTTGCTTCTCTCACTGCTTTCAGCTAGGACAAACAAATGTTAACAATCAAGGAAGATGGCAAGACTTGCTTAAAGGTTTTTTTTTATCATTTATTAATTGAATCGGATACTAAAACAATTCTTACTTTTTTCAGTAGAAACGGTGATTTAACAATTCTCAGAGTACAGTGTTCACCTCGCCTTTCGGAATCGGTGAATATTGTACTCATCAGGTAACCAAATCATAGTATTCACCTCATAAACAACAATAATTGTATAATATTAGAATTAAAAAAAGAACCATATTGAAATCGTGCCTGTAAGTTGTAATATGTTTTGCAATATATTCGAAAACAAGTTCACAGATTCAAGTACATTCTTCAATTTGTCATATCGGGATTGAAATGGTTGTTAGTCAAATTGGTATAAAAAGGAATAAAATAGCCTAGCTCTTCAAAACCGTTTACAACACTTGATGAAATGGAAATGCATTACTAAGAAACAAACGTTTGCGTAATTATTAGAGAAAAATTACACTGTCAGATTGTAACACATACATGTATCTAGTATATAGTGTAATCTTCAACAATACGGAATTATGATAATATACAGAGTATGTGTTTGTTGTTTATTAGGTGATTACCAATTCGCCGCTTAAGTTGCAATTTTCTAATGTGCTCCCAGATTGGTTATCATACAGAACAGACACTTACACTTTGTATTTACATAACTCCTAACTGATCCAATATAATCGATAGGCTTGTACATGTACCTCATAGAATTCATAAAATTAAATAGTCAAAATAATTTAAAGCTTTTTGTTTATCGCCTTTTTCAACTTGCCCCCTCTTATTTTTTGTAAGAAAGAGATCCCAGAAACAGTGAATTAAATGCTAGGGTATAACCTTGTCTTTTTCATAGTATATTTAAACAAGAGGCCCAAAGGGCCTTAACGGTCACCTGAGTATAATTCATCAATTTAGAGGATCCATAGAATAATAAAACTGATAGCTGAAGCTCTGTTGCCCAAAAGCAAGAGAAGTAGGAAGATCAGGATCAACAAAATAATTAGTATAACTTTCAGAATCAACTCATAAATTAAGTTCTAATCTGTCCCCCACTTATCACTATCACCATGTTGACTATTTACAAGCTTCTAGTGATCCTGTACTACTTGTAAACCCATATATAACCTTTCAGATTGACCTCTGTTGGTCTTTGAAGAACATTTAATAAGATAAGTTATTTTTGTCTCATTTTTATTTATCTATTATTTACAGGTCCAACTTATTAAAATTAACAAAGTACTTTTTGTATTATACAATAAAAATTCTTGCATAATTATCTTATTCTATTAACCTTTCAAATACATTATTTACAGTGATTAATAATCAAAGGTAACACGTGCGATGAGATTGTCAATCGCATACTCGCAGACCTTTCCGGCGAGCTCGGAAAAACACTTTGTTTTGCTGCGAAGTAACGATTGTTGTATAACAATTTCGTTATTTAATAAAAAAGAAAAAAAAAAAACCCACACACACACACACACAATAATTAATGATTTACATTCTCTCTTAGAAATAAATGTACGACAATTAACGAACAATAATCATGAAAGTAATATTATTGGTGAAAAGATTTATCATTATCAATCGAAGATTGACCTATATTTTTCCGTGAAAAAGACTGAGGAGGCAGCTAACGTATTCTTTTAATTTGCATTTCTGGGGAAAAGGTGATTTTCTTAAAAACTTTTAGCGTTTATTTTGTTTTCTTTCACATTTTACATACATATCATTATTCTAAACATTTGTTGTAATGTTGTATCTACTGGTCATGAATGGAACTATATTTTTTCAGAGCACTTGTGTGAAGAGTACCTGACTTTAGTATTATATCTTGAATAGATAGTATGTACTGATCGAATACATTAAAAATACCCTTGCTTATTAAAACCTTTACTCAATTTGCCCCTGATATGCCCAGAAGCAGAGAAGAATTTCACAGGTACAATGAATTTTCCCTCATCATCATAATTATACACTTCAAACAATTAACACATTTCCACTATATTATCAAAAGCACCCCCCACCCCTCCCCCTTTATGCCAGAACCCCTGTCCCTGGGACCACAAGTTTTAAAAATTCTGTTAGAAGCTCCCTTGTTCATCATATCTATGCAATTTGTTTATCTCCTCAACACTAAGGAGAAGACAGGATTAATCAATAGAATTAGTGCAGTTTCAGTATATTATTATCAATAGAGCCCCACCCTTACACCAGAATATCTGACCCAGGGGCCAAGAAACTCACAATTCTGGAAGAAGCACTCTTGCTCATCATAACTATACATGTACACTTAGTTTCTTTGCTTTATAACCAGAAGCAGAAAAGAAATTTTTCAAAGATATGCTTTTCCACTATATAATCAATAGAGCCCCCCCACCCCCCTTTCCACCAGAAATCCCAACCTTGGGGCCATATATTTTACAATTTTGGAAGAGGCATCCTTGCCTATCAAAATCAGATAAGAAGATTTTCAAAGAATTAATGTATTTTCACTATATAATCAACAGAGCTCCACCCTAACACAGAACCACTAACCCAAGGGCCTTGAAATTCACAATTTTGGAAGAGACATCCTCGCTCATCATAACTATGCACTCAGTTTGTTTAATACCCAGAAGCAGAGAAGAAGATTTTTAAGAATTAATGCATTTTCACAATAAAATCAATAGAGCCCTGCCTTAACACCAGAACCCCTGACCCAGGGGCCATGAAATTCACAATTTTGGAAGAGACATCCTTGCTTATCATAACTATGTACTCAGTTAGTTTGTTTAATACCCAGGAGCAGAGGAGAAGATTTTCAAAGAATTAATGCATTTTCACTATATAATCAATAGAGACCCTTCCTAACACCAGAACCCCCTGACCCAGGGGCTAAGAAATTCACAATTCTGGAAAAGACCCACTTTCTCATCATAACTATGCATTTGGTTTCATTTTTGAATACCCAGGAGCAGAGGAGAAGATTTTTAAGGAATAATGCATCATCACTTTATAATCAACGGAGCCCCACCCTAGCACCAGAACCCCTGACCCTGGGGTCATGAATTTCACAATTTAGGTAGAGGGCTCAATGCTTATTACAATCATTTCAACAGTTTGACTGCTTGATGTCCAGGAGTAAAGAAGATTTTTAAAGATTGCATTAATTTTGATGGTTGTGGCCCCATTCATCAGGGCTCGGGAGGGGAGGGGAAGCCACGAATTTCACAATTTTTGTTCTCCTTCACCCATGGGTGCTATATGCCAAAATTGGTTGAAATTGGTTCTCTTGTTCCAGAGGAGAAGCTGAAAATGTACAAAAGTTTACGACCGACGAACTGCACACGACGACGGCCGAAAAGAGATAGGAATAGGTCACCTGAGTAACTCAGGTGACTTAAAAATCGGCAAGTATAAATATTTCAGAATAAGTTCAATGCAGAATTGTACAAAAAAAGTGAGCTCACCTGTCAACTCAAGATCCTTTAACACAGAGTCTACGTTGTGGTTGATTCTAGAGAGCTTAAAGGTTGCCACAAGACATTTCTTCTTATCAGACTTTTTCTTCCACAACACATGATATTCAGGACAATTTCGTTTAATGCAATCACTTATTGGTTCTTCCAAGAATTGATTAGATTCCGTACTTAACACTACAATTTCCTTTTTATCTGAAAATTTATCAAATGATTATGATGTACATTTTAAGTAGATAGTAAAATCATAGCTAGAGTAATTGCATATACACTGGCTTATACACTAGCTTCCCTTTCTTGAAAAAAAACCCAACTTACTAATATCTTCTGATGAAAAATATTTTTTGTAAAATCACTTCCCATGTTTAAGTCAATAAACATTTAAAAATAAATAAATAAAAAATAAATAAATAAAAAATTAATTAATCAAAAAAAAAAAAAAACACTTCAGTCTTCAACTCATAAATGTCATATAAATATCATCTGATTTTACGCAGAAAATATTTGTAAAAATTAATTTACCTATTCCACATACGTCTATGGGTTTTTCAATGGTTTCTACAGGTTTTTGAATGATTTCTGTCTCTAAAATGCAAATATCTTGTTTGAGATCATGACATTGTAAAACATATTCATACACAGCATTGATATGGAAAATATTCATCCAGTTGTCAACCCTAACCAAAAAATACTATAGTTACATGTAACTATAGTAAACTATAGTAAATCAAAGTTTCAAAGTTATCACTTTAGTAAATAAAGAAGTTTTCATAGTGATCACTATAGTATCAAAGTTATCACTATAGTAAATCAAAGTTTTCATAATGAACACTATAGTATTTCAAAGTTTTCATAGTGTCCGAGTTATCACTATAGTAATTCAAAATTTCCATGGTGAACACTATAGTAAATCAAAGTTTACATAGTGAACACTATAGTAAATCAAAGTTTACATAATGAACACTATAGTATATCAAAGTTTTCATAGTGATCACTATGGTAAATCAAAGTGTAAACGTCAACACTATTTAAATCAAAGTTTCAAAGTCAGCATTATGGTTTTAGACATGAAGCCAATTTTCAACAACTATGCAATAGATATAGAAGCTCCATAAAAGGAATAAATATATTTTAACTAATAGTCAATTTCCCGAATGGAAGAATTTTGCCGAGTATTTTTTTTCTGATATACCTGTACAATGTTTTAAATATAGTTTTTTCTTTAAAAAATACATTTTCAAATCCTGTGATACACTTATTTAAGTTTGAAATGAAAGATTGAATTGGTCCCTCTGTTCCTCTAGTTTTTCGGCATCCGTTAAAACAGTTTGTAATTATATTTAATAAAAAATGAGCATTTCTTCTGTTTGCATTCCCATGTTTTAGAAAGACAAGTTCAATATTGATGATAATTTCATTCTTCTAAAATGCATGGGAAGCACTGATACTCTTTAAAAAAATTATTTATTTGCAATGAAGAAAATAACAGATATATTTTCAGTATATAGAATTTAAAGCAAAATATTTACAGTCAAGTCCTCACAAGTACAACGGTCAGTTTTTAAGCTCCATGTTTAGGTTCCCCTTTCAACATATCTGCAACTCATTCTAATGTAGCATTCATGAGTATATTTATTCATTTAATTCCTAATCTTTCTGAATAAGATTTAGAGAAATTATTTGTTAAAATCCCTTAGCTCATCAAAATTCATTTTGAAACTGATACAGCTCTTGCAAATCCCCCCCCCTCCAAAAAAAAAAAAAAAAAAAAAAAAAAAAAAAAAAAAAAAACTAGAGGTACTGTGAGCACTGAGCTCACTAAATGATACCCCCATCTCCCATATGATTATAGTGGCAAAGTCCATGTTTTGCTCTGGGAGATCCGAAATAAGTGTCAGATCAAAAAGTAAAATAGAAGGTGCACAATGGCACTATGTCACAAAGACTCAGTAAAAGTTTCATTAAATTTTCATCAGTGGTATAAGAGAAGTTGCGGATAAGAGATGGGTACCCCAAAGCGTAAAAGACGGACGTATAGACAGACGGACGGACGTACAGACCGATCACTATATACCCTTCCACTTTTCAAGCGGGGGGTATAAAAACCCGGTCCAAAAACACAGGCCAAAAACCATTTCCTTCCGACTGAAAGGTAAGAAAACTGTATACTTCGTTTTTTGGTCTACTAGCAATTTTTCCAAGGTATGCTTTTTACTACCTTTTGTAAATATTTTCCTTTCTTTTTCTGTTTCCTTTTTATCATGATAATTGGTTGAGCAAAGAAATGTATTAATTTACCAGACATCAGAAGCATTACAGTAACATTAGATGTAATATCTTTTAAAAAAAACATTTAAAGTCTTTTGATTTATCATATATTTTTCTATATATTAGAGGACTTGGTCCAAAAATTAAAAAGCTTGGAATTTTTACAAGGCTTACAATTTCCTTTCAAAACAATTCTATGTAATTACAAGAAACACATTCAGTTAAATAGTAAATGATAGTCATTGGTCAAAAAATTTCAGAAATCTTTTCCCTCTTTCGGCAAAATCATGATGTGGATAATTTACAATCAAGACTACCTCATGATACTTCAATCTAAATTTATTTTGTTTTGGTCAAAAGATTCTTGAGAAGATTTTTCCTACATATTTCAATGTAAAGCATTGATTTTCTATTATGTGGCCCCACCCTACCCCCAAGGGGCATGCTTTGAATAATTATAGTCTACGCTACCTCAAGAAGATTCCACATAAGTTTCTGCTTTTATATATGGTCAGGCAATTTTTGAGAAGAAATTTTTCCTATATGAATTTATGCAGGGTCCTCCATCATTTCAAATTTAACTATGGCGCAAGACGTTTGCGAAATGCCAATATTCGCAGTCTGTTTGCGGCCGAATTAGCGAAGTAATCACTGAATGAATTAAAATCACAGAGCTTTTCTGAATCACCAATTTAATACATAAATTTTATTAAATATTTTGCCAATTGAAATATACATTTAATTATTATTAAAAATCAATTAAAGGACAACTAAATTAACATATGTAAAAGAAAAATTGGAACGTTTCCAGTATATCAGTGTTCTGTGACCCCCCCCCCCCCCCCCAATTTTTCCAACACACCAACGTACGCACGTACTTTAAAAAAAAAAAATTATAAAATCTGAAAATATAAGTACTAGAAATAACAAGGTTTTCAGTGTTTAAACTGTTTTTTTTAAATGATTTTGTTTACAAAATGTAAATTATACGGACAGAAGAATTTCTGGTAGGTCACACAATCAGACTTCGGGGCCATAAAACTTAGTCGAGCTTACTTTTGATCTCAATCTTACTTTTCCACTATCAATTCCTTTTGTAAAAGTGAGACTGAGATCAAGAGTGAGCTCGTCTAAGTTTTATGGCCCTGGCCATCTATATAATTGCAATATCGATCTCGGTTGGTTATAGTATCTTAAAACTTGTGAATTTAAAAAAGTTGCTTTTTGGAGTCATAAAATACTAATTTGATGGATTAATCCTTTATTTTTCAACTTCACATCAATACATGATTATGATACACGAACGATGTTTGACTCACAGTGCCTATGCAATTTTAGAGACGTGGCTATTTTTAGTAAAGCCAAGTATTTTTAAAAATTAGAATAAAAAAGATACTTGCAATTATCGGGAAGTTTGAAAAAATGCCTTGTCTCTTTTCATTCATGCGTCATTTATTCAAAGTCCAGCAAGGCCTAGAAGATAATTGATTGTGCAAGCCAAACAATGGGCTGTTTAGCGTTAGATAAACAGCACGTAATTTGGAGATTTTTTTTAAAGTTTATGAATTAATATATTTTTAATCATGATCGAGGACGATCTTACTGTGGCGCTAATACTTAACTGTGGTGGAACTATGACGCTGATTCTTTTAAATATGGCGCTAGAGAATTTAACTTTTGCCGTCCCGCCACCTTAAACGGCCCATGGAAAACCCTGTTAATGTAAAGCATCGATTCTCTATATTAGTCCCACCCTACCCCAAGGGGACATGTTTTGAATAATATATAGTCTACGCCACCTCAGAAAGCTTCCACATCAGTTTCAGTTTTTCTGGCCCAGTGGTTCTGGAGAAGATTTGTAAACACATTTCCTTCATATTTTGATGTAAAACATTGATTTCCTATCGGGGGCCCCACACTAACCTCGGGGCCATGATTTGAACAGTTTAGAATCTACACAACTACACAAGCTTTCAAATACGTTTCGGCTTTTCTGGCCCAGTTTTTCTTGGGAAGAAGAATTTTAAAGATTTTAAAAAAATATTTCTATGGAAAACTTCGCTATAATTGTGGCCCTACCATCCCTTTAGGAGAGCCATGATTTGAACAATTTAGAATTTACACTACCTCAGGAAGCTTTTACATAAGTTTAAGCTTTAATGGCTTTAATGGACTGTGGTTCTTGAGAAGATTTTTTAAGATTTTTCCATTATATTCAATGTAAAACATTCATTCCCTGTTGTTCCCGGGGGCGATGATTTTAACAATTTAGAATCTACATTATTTAAGGAAGCTTCGATTTAAGTTTCAGCTGTTCTTGCCCAGTGGTTCTCAAAAAGAAGATTTTCTAAAGATTTTTCATATGTATTCCAGTGTAAAACTTTGATCTTCCTTTTTTGGCCCCATTCGACCCCGGGGACATGATTTCAATTAATAAGAATTTACACTACCTCAGAAAGATTCCACATACGTATAGCTTTTCTTGACCTGTGGTTCCTAAGGAAAAGATTTTTAAAGTTTTTTCCTATATATTTCTATGTAAAACTTTGATCGTCTATTATGGTTTCACCCTACCCATGGGGCCATGATTTGAACAATTTAAAATCTACACTACCTCAGAAAGCTTCCACATACGTTTCAGGTTTTCTGTACTATAATTATTATTGAGAAGATTTTTGAAGATTTTTCCAATATATTTCAATGTAAAAATTTGATTCCATGTTGTGGCCCCACCCTACCCCCAGGAGCCATGATTTAGACAATTTAGAATCTAAACAACCTCTGGAAGCTTCCACATTAGTTTCAGTTTTTCTGACCCAGTGGTTCTTGAGAAGAAGATTTTTAAATGACCCAAACCTATTGTTGTCTTTTCTTGATTAACTCCCCTTGGAAAGAGGGTTTCGCCCTTCATTCCAACAATTTAGAATCCCCATTACCCAGGAATCCTTTGTACCAACAAATGTGGCTCAGTGGTTCTTGGGAAGAAGTTGAAAATGTGAAAAGAAGGACGGACAACGGGTGATCAGAAAAGCTCATTTGAGCTTTCATCTCAGGTGAGCTTTAAAGTTAAAAAAAACATGGTTGAATTCATTTTAAGTACGTTTAATTATGAAAGAAATACCTGTGTCGGACGATTTCACACTGCATTTAAGGTCTTCTTTAACTGTAAAAAAAGAATATATCTCATTTCGACCACAAATCATTGCTATATAATATTGATGAATTTACCAATTGGAATGATTTTAATTCGTTGGGGCAAGTAAAGGTTTACTGGTTTACTGATTCGCGGGTGTGTTATTTCGTGGGTAACTCGAACATACAGAAAATTCAGAAGAATCAGAAGATTCTTGGGGATGTAACGATTCATAGGTAAGGGGCGCCCATGAAATCCTCGAA